CAGGCGAAACGTGGCAGGGAGTTTAGTGCTGGAAGTTTTATATATTTGAATTTTCAAACTTGCAGATGGAGTTTAGGAAAACCTTTTTTTTTTTTTTTCCACCGGTGAAGCTAGATCTTATATGAAAGAAAAAAAACAACAATTTCCTGTTGAAAGGCAGCTAAAGGGAAAAGCTGTGCTTCAAAGAACTTGTAATTGCCTGTTTTGCAGGGATAAGAAGAAAAACTTGGTGCAGGTGTCCCGGAGGTCTCGCTCCTTCCATGCTCCATGGCAGCGCAGACAGGATATTGCTCATCGTTCAGTCTCCCAGAGGCTTTGTTTTCTTTTTATTTGACTAAAATCGGCTTTTTTCTTTTTTTTTTAACCCCATTGTTGAACTTGTCTACCAGTAGCTTTTCAAATATATCAGCTCTAACCAGTGCAAGTTTTGGAGGACTGGAAATGTCTTATTTAATGGTGTTTATCCCTGCCCCAAATCCTGTGGCTCCCACAGACCTCTCGCTGCCTGTGCTGTTGCTTTCATAAAATAGTGTGCTTCTACCTAGGAAACAGGGCTTCATTTTTCCTCTTATATCACTGGAAAAGGGCTCGGGGCTTCTGTAGGGTGACTGATAGTAGCAAAAGCCAAACCGGAGCGGGGAAGCTGCCATCGAAATCCTTGATGGCACGGCTGCACGAGACAAAAACCAAAATATCACGCAAAAATAATCCATCCCAATACAGCTAGGATTCCTTTTTCAAGGAAAACAGCCTAAAACTTGTCATGAAATACATCTGTCTGATGGAATGGGTGCTTTTTTCCTAAAACTGGGTAAGAGAATAAACCTAAAAGGTCTAAATATCTCCATAAATGCTACCCCAGGGCTGGATCCTTTCACACACCTTTTTGTGTTTTGGTTTGTGAGTGAGAATGTAACTTCTACAATTATGTTCGGAGAGAGAATTTTTTTTGTGGCATGTGAAAATGAGCATTCCCTTATGACTAATGTGCTCTGACTCAGTACTATTGCGCGGCCTTTTATTTTCATTCAACAACTTTCCCTTGGAGGCTTTTTTTTTCCCTCCCCTCTAAAACCTGTTGACTTTTTTTTTAAAAAAAAAAAAAAAAGCCAGGTCAAAAACTTCAAGCACTTCTTAAAACAGCTGAGAGTTGCGGAGAAGAGGAGGCAGCCCAGGATGGGAACCACCGATGCCACCCACTCCTGTGAATTGGGGTCCATGGGACCAGGAGAGGTGCCTGCAGGTAGGAAAACCTTCTTGGATCGAGAGGGGTTTTGCAGGAGCAGGTTCCTGGCTGCCTGATTTCGCTCCCGGGCTTCAAGAAGTGCTTGAACCTGGTGAGTTTTCTTGCCTGTGTTTAATATTTTTTTCATCATTCATTCTATGATCTGTTTGCTCCGCTGCAGTGGAATAAAGAGCAGGCTCTTAAATGATTTCAGGAGGGGAGAGAGGGGAAAATGGAAGTGCTCTGAAAAGAGGGAGAAGAGCAATAAAACATTTTGCCAACTGGCAGAGACGCAGCTTTTAGGAAGGGCCAGGCAGATTTGATCAGATCTGTTTCGATCGCCCTTCCAGCGTTTCTTTACGTGTTATTTTCAGCAGCTGCCATTTCCTTTTGGTAGGGCTTTAGGCTAATTCCTGAAGGCTGGAAAAAGTTTCCACTGCTGGAATATAAAGGTGTTTCTCCCGGACCAGGAGGGCAGTAGGGTGCAAAATATAAATATGGTGCTTCAAGGGGGCTCGTGTTGGCCTTGGCAGCGATCGATCCGAGCAGAGCGAGGCGCCCGGATCCGTCCCGGCGGGTTCATTGGATTGCACGTACTTTTGGCTGCTTAAATCCCTTCACTGCAGCTTTTTTGAGTGCTCCAAGATGGATTTTAGCCCGTGTACAAACTGAAGCCCAGCTTGGTGCAAGCCTGGAGAGCCAGGATGAGTGAGAAGGCACCTCTTGCATCCCCCCTAAATGCAAATGGGGCAGAAACACTGTTCTGCTCTTCGAATAACTGGTTAAAACACCAGCATGGGATTTTCTCCTGTGGATCTGCTGAATAATTGGTAATAGGGGCTGGCTGGGATGCTTGAGCTCTCTCTCCTACCGGCTGCCTGGGTTTTTTTTTCCTTTTTCGATGCCGGAGCAGGGCTTTTGGTGCTTTGCAATCCAGGGGTGGTTATTCCCAGCCCACTGTTGCCGTGCCATAAGAAGAAAATCCACAGCAGGTCAAGCTTGAAGGGTTATTTTGACAGCGACTTGCCTTTTGGGAGTTGAGCTTATTGCTGGTCTTGTTTTCCCTTAGAAAAATAACATGGTGTGGGCGTGAAAACTTGGAGGATGGTTATTTCTTATGCTCAAACATTTATAAAACGAGGATCTAGCAAAGTAGATGCGTTTGGAGTATTTATAATGTTATCAAGTGGTCTGGTAAGACCAGACGAAACTCGGTGGAGCTTCTCCATCCCCAGATCCACGCAAGCATGTGCTGCTTGAAGCATTGAGGGGTTTCCCTGCTCCTCCTGCCTTTTGAAAACAGGCCTTAGAGATGCTTTTCTAACCCCCAAACTGGGTTTTTTTGTGGCTGTGGTTAACTTGCTGTGTTGTTTTGTTCCCAAGCTTGCTCCGGAGGAGCAAAATTGGGATTTAATAAATGAAAAAAAAACCCTTCTTAGCTGGGAGTTCATTCCTTCGCTTCTCAGCTGACTTCCTCCAGCAGGTTTTGGACGTTATTTAAAGGGTAAATAAAAGCTGTTGGGAAACACACAAAATCTTTGCTTCTAAACCTGGGTGACACAACAGATGTCTGGTGTGAACCTGTCGAGCTGAGGCTTATGTTCGGCATCGTCACCCGCAGGTGTCCCATCGTACCTGAGCTGGATACAAACGCGCTTCGGTTTTGGTTTTCTGGCACGTTTTTCGGGTGTGAAACGCCTTCTGCTCCATCTGCCTAGATGTACTGCTCCCTGTTTTCCCAAACCGTGAGGTAGGGACCAACCCTTCTTCCTCCCACCTCCCTGGCTCGAGCAAAACCGCATCCCGAGGCTGGAATACCGGCAGCCTCGAGATGGAAACCAGCACACGTGCTTCACAACGATAGATGCTTTTGCTTGGAAAAGACCCAACCCTCTGTATTTGAATTATCATTTTTTTTAGCGCAGCTCCACTTCTTGTTTTTACTTTTTTAGTTTTCCATTTCTTAATCTTCGGGAATTTGCGTGTTACCCGCTGCGTAACGCGGTTTGCTGGCAGCAGCAGCGCTCATGTCAGAGCATTTGGGTGTCAGCCTTTCCCTGTCATAACATTGACTCTAAGAAGGATTTCTGACACGGGGAAAAACGTGCCGAGCATCTGTTGGGATGAGAACTGTAAGTTTTTTAATTTTGGTGTGGTTTCTGCCACGGATTGACAGCCCCGTGGGTTTGCTGAAGCTGCTTCATCGGGGAACCTGACAAAAGGGGAGAGTAATGCTGTCAAACGTCATTTTTCTGAACGTAAATTAGTTGTCATGACAAGCTCTTCTGCTCCGTGTCTCTGCTGTCTGCTATTCCCATGATTCTTCGGTGTGTGCCGGGGTGGGAAAACCCTACATTTAACTGGGGAAGATGGTAACCGAGTTTGCGTTGCAAGAAGCTCATAACAACATCTTAGTTTATTCCAGACAGTTCCGTAACTTAAATTCCTTCCAGCCATATTTTCCATGATGCAAGTTACTTGTATTTAAATATGTTGGATAAAAAGCTGTGTCTTTGCTTCCTGGCCTTGCTGCAGGTGGGATTTGTCCCGTGGATTGTGTTGAGCCACATCCCAGTCGATCTGGGACCTGGGGATGGCTTGGGCAGCCTCTGCCTCGTGGAGTCAGGAGAAAGTCAGGCTGAGCGATGTAAGAGCTGAGGGTTTGTCCGGGTTTGGGTCCTTCATTACAACCTGCTGTGCTGGGAAAAGGTGAAAAGGGAATTTGTGACTGCAGTTTCTGGAAAAGAAAGTCCCTGCGTCATCCTCGTGAGCTGTTATTTTGGTTTGAGCTATCGATGCGTGTGCAGTCACGGAGCACTTGCATCCCTTGGTCTTAATCCAGCGGCGTCGGAAGGGAAAACCGTCACCGCTCTCCCCAAAACAGCTCGGCTGCTTCCTAGAAAACAGGGTCCAGGGGTTTCTTTTGCAGTGACAGGCATGGGTTTAACTGCAGACCGTGCCAACTGGCTGCCACCGCTCGTTAAGATGGATTTATTTCGTGATTTAATCCTGTCATCGGTACGTTACCTTATACTTGAGATGTTCTGAATAGCTCGAGATGGAATATTTGATATCCCAACCTTTCATCGGTAGTAAAGCCCGTGGGAGTTTTTCTTTCCTCACCTGCTGTCAGTAAGAACTGTGTGCAAGTATTTAATTAAAAAAAAGAAGAAAAAAGGGTGGTGTGAAGAGAGAATGGGACAGGGATTTATTTTTTTCCCCCCGTGTGCTGCTGAGAAGTTGCTCGGGGTAGAGCAGGCTCGCTGGCAAAACTGGTTTCACAGGGGAGGAGGGGTTGCAAAGCTGTCGCTTCGATCCCGTCTCGCCTTGGGTTGCTCCCGATTCGGTGGGGATCCCTTTCCCCGTGGCTTCCCAGCCCCTGCAAACCAACTGGGGCCACCAGCATGGCAGCGTGATGCTTCCTCGTGCCCGGCGAGGGAGCAGGGGTTTGAGAGGCTGCAATTCCTCCAGCAGATTGGTATTTTGGGGTTTTTTTTTTTGCTTTCTCTGGTCCCGTCTGTAGGTGAGATGAGGAAAACGCTGCGCCAACGGAGAACTTGTTCCTAAACCACGTTCAGCCTGCTTCAAAGCTTTGTGAAAACCGCGTCCTCGACTTGGAATTTGCTGGGGTAGAGCTTGAGGTGGACCTTTGGTGTAACATACACGGCTTGCAGATGCGTTTCTGCTGCTATTAATTTTCTTTGTGACCTCACTGTTGTCTCTTTTTCTTTTTTTTTTTTATCCCCCTCCTCGTGAAGCTGTGAAGTGGAATGCCATGGCCAGTTCCTCGGACAGTGACGACGATGGTTTCATGGCCGTGGATCCGGAAGACGCCGTGGTCGAAGGGACGATGGAGCAAGACGATGAGCCGCACGCTGAGCTGGAGGTCGAGGAGACCAGGCATAACAGATCAATGTTGGAGCTCCCAGAAGAGGTTTTGGAATATATCCTCTCCTTCCTCTCGCCGTATCAGGAGCACAAAACTGCTGCCCTTGTCTGCAAACAGTGGTATCGACTAATCAAAGGTACAAATAGCTGTAATGAGAGTGCAGGGTTTTTTTTAATTGTGAGAGCACGAGCTGGTGTCCTGGCTGCTCTTTGCTTTGTTTTAGCCTCACCTGTTGTTTTCCCCTTAAACTTAGAAATTTGGCTTCTGCAAAACACCAGAAAAATTGCTACAGCTCATGGTGTTGTTAATAATGAGAATTATTAGAATTCAGCCCCTCAGCCTCTTTGGAAGTAGAAAAGTCTGAAACCTCATAACCCCCCCAGCACAGCAGGTCGCTCCCGTTGCTTTGGAATCTTCCCCCGGCAGCGGTCCCCCGTTGCCGGCATCCCGTGTCTGATGTGGCTGTAGCTGTTCTTCGTTTGCGTCTTGCTCGGTAATTAGTATTCCCAAAGCTTATGCTTTCGACTGGAAACAAACCTCTGGTTCTTACAGCTCTGCTGAAGACAAGTCATACATAAAATCTGCATTAATAGAGATCTACATATTCAGATTTCCTAAAAGAGCAGCCCTGAGATACGGGTACTTCACTTTGCCTCTGTGCAGCGTTAATTCTGAAGTTGTATGGAGATGTTAGATATTTATTTAGATCTATATGAAATGAAATCATGCTAGAAAATCATGAAATTGTGCTAGATATATACGATATGACAGCTACATAGGTAAAGTTTGGACAAGGGTACGAGCAAAACCATCCAAGGTATTAAAAAAAAATACCAAAGCAGATAATTTCTGTTAGTTTCTGTTGGGGATGGGCATCTTGATTGCACGCTTCGTTAAAAACCAGGTAGGTGGAGAGGAGACCACGGGTGAATCCATAGGAAACGAGGCACGCTGCTGCACGAGGGTAACTTGTTTCTTCTGGAAAACAGGGAGCGGGTATCGGATGAGAAATGCCTTTGGCAGGCGTGTGGGGTGATGTCTAATTTGTGGACATCTCTGCACGGGTGAAAGGATTGCTCAGATTCCAGGTGTGTTCTGCCTCGCCCAGAGTTGGTTTGAAAAATCACAGATACTTCAGAAGCGAGCATTGCCCCAAATTCCTCTTTTTGCATAATAATTTCGGGTCAGCAGCACCCTGTGCCCTTGAGTCACTGCTTGGATGCTTTTTCTCACGAGTGCTTGTTCCTGGAGCGGCCTCAAGAAATGCAAAGGATGCAGCTGGAATGACCAAACACCTGGTGATTCACCCCAAAAGAGACTGTGGGAAACAGCCCTGGAGCCGGGGGAAGGGATGAGCAGCCCGTGGCGCAGCGTGGCATTGGATTGAGTCGTCCCTTGTCTCAGGGGATGAGTGATGCTGCACAGCCGTGCCACTTTTACAGCAATTATAGCCAAAAAAAAAAAAAACAAACAAAAAAACCAGAGTGTAATTGCTAACCTGCTCGCCACAAAGCAGAGGGGTCACTCGAGGTAAACACTTGATTTGTTTTCTTCTGGTTAATTTTTCCTGTTTACCAGGATACATCTGCTATGAAATCCTATAGTTGGGATTACGTTTCCCACATGACTCTCAGGGACCAGCTGCTTGCAGACCCTGAGCTTCTTTTTTTCATTCTATGTATTTTTTTTTTTTCTTTAAACTTCCTGCTTTATATCCCAGAGCATGATTTCTTGCTGGAAGTGTTCCTGGCACGGGGCTTCCGGTAAGCAAATCCTTCAAGGAGGAAAAAAAACAATCTTGGCAGGTCGTGGCACCCTCAGCACGAGGGCTGCCGGAGCGCAGCGGCT